CCAGCCTGGGAGACACGGAGCCCCCTGGCCTCCCCACATCCCTACCCTTTCCGCTCTTTTTCATTTCTTCATTTCTTTCTTCATTTTTCCTTCATTCCATCTTGTCCTCCAGGCCATTCCTCCTGCCGCTCTCCTGAGCCAGTCCAGCCCCTCTCCTTCCTTCTGAGCAGGCTTTCCTTTCATTTATTTTCATTTACATTTAATTTAATTTTGTTTCATTTCATTTCCCTATTTATTTTTAATCCTAAGGCAGTTTTGCTTCATTCTGGAATCCAATGCCCAGGAAAGATGAAAGCAGTGATGCTGACATGCTCTATGGCAAAGCAGCCACTGGCCTGAAGCCTCTCTCAGGACTGCCTGAGAGATTTCTGCCTTAAATTTTGATTGTCTTTGGTAGAAAAAGATGTATTTACTATCAATTTCCAGAGACATCCTGTTAGAATCAAATCAGCCGCTGCATCATTTCCTTAGGGACTGTCTTGCTCCCTTAGTATATGATGGGGGAAGCGGAGTCGCTAGGAGAGCTGGAGCAAAGGGAGCTTGATGGGTGAGCAGAGCCAGGGCAAAGAAGGCAAAGAAGGGAGAAGGAGGCCATGGTGGTTAGAATTTAGCCTGGGCAGAACCCCCCAGGATCCAGTGCGGATTTGGGCTCCCCCATCTGCAGAGCTTCCTCCCTAAGTCAGGCGAGGTTGAGCTTGTCCTTTCATAGCGGTCTGGAGTTTAATGGACAAGATAGATGGCTCAGTTTGGACAGCCTGTTCTCTTCTACCCGGAGGTCACTTCGCTTCTCAGAATCAACAACTGTTCAACCTGAGAGTCTCACCCATGGCTTTCTTGTCACGGCTCTTTAGCCACCGGATTGATGCCAGGGTGTACAAGGCAGGAGCAGGGCTACCTGGCACAAGGGTGAATCTTTCTTGTGAATCTGGTGTGCACAGGCTTCTCCAGTGTGCACACACCTCTGGTCCAGGTGAGCGCTGCCCCTGTGGATGAGGGACTCCAGAGAGGCTGATGTCCAGAAGAGCACAAAGGGAGAGAAAAAGGAGGCATCCACAAGAACCAGGAACAGCAGGACACCAGCCAAGGCTGACATTGCCTTGGACACTTTGGCAAGAAGGGCTGCTCTAGTGTCAAAATTCCTCCAGCTCAGCCTGGAATAACTGTCAGGTTATTACCAAAACATACGGAAACTGCATGGAAATCATTCCAGCTGGTGAAGAGGCCTGAAGGCCAAATCATCTCTCCCACAACTCTCAAAGCCCAGGTGAGGTGGGCACAAGGGCCTTCATTGAAGGCCCCCGGGCCAGCTGCACGACCACTCGCTTGGCCAGGGGTGCAGGGTAAGAACCTATTCTACAGAAGCGCTTCTGTCAGCAGTAATTCAAAAGGATTCACTTCATGGGGCCAAGCAGCTTCTCCATGTTATTTTCAGGAGAAGCAGGGCAGGAGGAGCCCAGCCTTCCCGGGGGGTCTGCAGAGACAAGAGCAGTGCAGAACCATTGCCATGGGTTTGCATGCAGCAGAGCTGCTGGGGGCAGCTGGCATTGCCTAGAGGTGCGGTCAGCTGAACGGGGGCAGGACTCCCCACAGAGCATAAGTAGCCAGAAACAGAGGGCTGGAGTCTTGAGAAGAGCCCAGGCTGGGCTCCCCTCATCACTGTGAACCCCTTCTTTAAAAAGACCTGTCCTATACCAACCTGCTGTGAGTGACAGGGTTAGATGGAGACTTTCTAATTATGTTTTCAACCCAACCAAGCTATGGGATAAATTGCACTTCTTTTTTTTTTTTCATTTCCAAATAATTATTGAAAATCCTATCTGCTTTCCAGCATGAATACATATTTCTCTGTCTGAGCAAGGAAAACAAGCCAGTCAATTCCTATCTCCCTTCAGTGTTTTCTGACTCCACTCCCCTAGTCAGCTCAGTCTTAGCTGCCTTTGCTTAGCAGACTGCACGCAGGATGACAGGTTCTTCACAAAGATTAGAGCCAAATCCGTGGCAGAAAAGGGAGAGGAACGCAGGAGTCCTGACTACCAGTCAGATTATTCTACTACTGGAAGACAGTTTTCTGCACATACCCCAACACTCCCTGCTGCCAGAGCAACGACTCCAGCTTATGCAAGGAAGCAGCCATCCAGCTACATGTGCAAGCCTTGAGGTCCTGGATATTTCAAAAGCAGCCAAAAAGGGTCAAAAGACCCCAATTTTCAAATGTTTTTATATCCCTAGAATGCTTCAGTGTTTGCTAGTTGCCTTGAAGCTTCGTTAAAATGAAAGCAAAAGGTGTAACTAAACTAAAAGATAAAATAACTCATTTATGCACTACGCAATTTTGAATGTTTTAAGTATGAAAAAAAAATTGTCCCATTTGGAATCAAGTTTGTTGAGGGATAACAACGACTGCAAGAAAAGCTTCTTTTCTTCCTTCCTTCCTTTCTTCCTTCTGGAAGGAAGACTAGGGAAAACGTGGGTCTGCTGCTGAATGAGATGGGTGGCTTAGTGATGAAGGATACAGAGAAGGCAAAGTTATTGAATGCTTTCTTTACTTCAGTCTTTAGGACTAAGGCCACCCTCAGGAAACCCAGACTCTGGAGACAAGAGAGAAAGTCTCGAGAAAGGAGGACTTTCCCTTGGTTGAGGAGGACTAGGTTAGAGATCATTTAGCCTGTTATGTGTGTTATTGCTAGACCACTCTCTGTCATATATGAAAGATCATGGAGAAAATAAGTTGTGTTTGAGACCAATGTCACTCCAACCTTCAAAAATAACAAGAAAGAGAGCCCAGGGAAATATAGGTCAGGCATCCACAACTCCATCCCTGGAAAGGTGATGGAGCAGCTCATTTTGGCTGTCATCTCGAAGAATATGGAGGAAAAGAAGTATTGGGAAAAGAAGCTTGGGAGTAGTCAGCAGGGATTCACAAAGCAGAAATCATGCTTAACGAATGTGATGCGCTTCTGTGATGAAATGACTGTCTGGGTAGATGAGGGGCAAGCGGTGGGTGTTGTCTACCTTAATGTCAGTAAGGCTTTTGATACAACATAACATCATCATAGGGAAACTCAGGAAGCGTGAACTATGTGAACTGGATGACTGGACGGTCAGGTGTATGGAGAACTGGCTGCATAGCAGAGCTCCAAGGGCTGTATCCAGTAGAACAAAGTCTAGTTGGAGGCCTGTAGCTAACGGTGGCTCCAGGGGCCAAGACTGGCTCCAATTCTGTTCAACTTTTTCCTCAATGACCTGGATGAAAGGACAGAGTGCCTCCCCAGCACGCTTGCTGATGGTAGCAAGCAGGGTGGAATGGCTGATACCCCAGAGGACTGTGCTGCCGTTCAGAGGGACTTGGAGAGGCTGGAGAGCTGGGTGGAGAGGAACCTCATGAAGTTCAACAAAGGCAAATGCAGAGTCCTGCACCTAGGGAAAAATAACCCTATGTGCTTGCACAGGCTGGAGATTGGCCTATGGAGAGTAGCTCTGCAGAGGAGGACCTGGAATCCTAGTGGACAAACTGGTCCAAAGCCAGGAATGTGTTCTTGTGGACAAGGAGGCCCGCGGGATCCTGAAGCACATTAGGAAGAGCATTGCCACAGGTCAAGGGAGGTGATCCCGCTTCTGTATTCAGCCCTGGTGAGGGCTTTCCAGGAGTATTGTGTCCGAATGCAGACTCCTGAGATCGAGAAAGACACGGATCTACTGCAACAAGTCCAGCAGAGGGCTATTAAGATGATTAAGGGACTGGATCCTTCTCCTTTGAGGAAAGGCTGAGAGAGCTGGAGTTCTGTAGCCTGGACAAGAGAATATGCAGGGAAGATCTTAGCAGTGTATACAAATATCTGAAGGAAGGCTGTAATGAGAAAGCAGACAGAGTCATTCTGTGAAAACCAGCCTGTGTAAAACTAAAAGCAATTTCAAAAGGTCATCTTTTTTTTCTCCGGTATAAGCCAGTGCAGATCAGGTTCCCTCTGAGCCAAGCGGGATGGGGTCAGTCATCTATGAAACCCTCAGTTGGGAGCACCCCTCCTTTGGAAGGATCAGAGACAGCCAAGGCACCGAGGTCTGGCAGTCCCCCTCTGCTGTCCCCCAGGGATATCTCTGCCCTCTGAGGGGCTTGTTGATGACCCGCCTGTCACCGTGGCAGAGGGGCATTGCAGCTGGGGATGTAGGGCGAGGTTCGGAGGGTGCCACATCCCACTCAGGAGTGACGCAGCAAGACAGGAAAGATGAGCTGAGCAGCAAACAGCTTCTCAGGTCACGCTCTGGGTGCGCAGAAACACTTCTCCCTCTCATCACAGGTACAGGAACATTTTCCCCTGGAGTAAAGCATGTCATAAAACCAGGTGCTTGTCGTAGGGCAGACATTTTCCATCATACAGCATTAACACAGCTCTGTGCAGCACACAGAGCAGCGCTGCCAGTTGCCTTTGGAGATCCAGTAACCACAGAAACACAAATCATAATGTAGAGGACTGGATGCCCAGCTCCTCATTTCCCCGGCTCAGACAAGGCCTGCATGCAGTGTATGACAGCAGGTTTTTCTCTAACCCCCTGAGCAAATGGGACAGGAGTGGTAATTTGCTGGCAGTGTCCCTGCTAGATCTCGTTACACGGGCTGAGGAAGGGACTCTATAGAATAAACATGTGCAGAGGCCAGAAAAATAGACACTGCAACCTTACTTACACAGCTTGTGGTAGAGCACTGGGCCACACAAGCACCTAAGCTGCAGCTGTAAAGAATGAATCCTTCCCCCTCTCCTTTCCTTCTGCGTCCTCTGCTCACTGTTTTTCTCCCATCTTTGGTTCTCATGTCCCTTCTTCTCCCCTCGTGCTGTGTGATTTCTCTCCAGTCTCTTAACCTCGGGGATATTTGCTTTCAGAGATGGGACTGTCCTTGCAAGAGATCTTCTCCTGCACTTCTCACTCCCAGTGAGGAGTGGCTCTCAAAGAGCATCAGTGACAGCTCTTTTGACATGCTCTGAGCATCCCTCTTCTTCTTCCAGGTGCAGAGCAGCCTCTGGAGGAGCAGAGTCAGCACTTGTGCAGAGGCTCTGCCACACCATCCCTGAGCAATGCTCTAGAAAACACTGGGACCATGAAGGGCTTAGGAGATAACAGAAGCCGCCACCTCTCTGATAATCTGGACTCCCCTCAGGACTCTCTTTTTGCCCCTCAGGACAGGAATCCTTATCTCCTCAGCCCCACTGACTCCTACACCATGGACCCGCGGTTCCCAGCGCAGAATACCCTCCATGGCGACTGCCTCCTTCCACTCAACAACCAGATCTCCAACAGCAGCACTTTCCCCCGCATCCACTACAACTCCCACTTTGAGGTCCCAGATGAGAACCCTTTTCCGAGCCATGCCCAAGCCACCAAGATAAACCGCCTGCCTGCAAACCTCCTTGACCAGTTTGAGAAGCAGCTGCCCATCCACAGAGACGGCTTCAGCACCCTCCAGTTTCAGAGGAGCGATGCAAAGCACCGGAGTGAGAGCCCAGGGCGGATCCGACACCTTGTCCACTCTGTCCAGAAGCTATTTGCCAAATCCCAGTCTCTGGAGGGCCCCACCAAAGGTAATGTTAATGGGAAGAAGGGGGCTGATGACCCCAAGCAGAACCGGAGGAGCAAGAGCAAAGATCGAGCAAAGACCTCCGAGCCCAAGCGTAGAACAAGATCCAACATATCAGGTTGGTGGAGTTCAGATGACAACTTAGACAGTGATACCTGCAGCTACCGCAACCCAATGGGCCTCATGACACTGGGCCGGCAGCCAGACCACAGCCAGCCCAAGTACTTCATGCATGCTTACAACACCATCAGCGAGCACATGCTGAAATCCTCCAAGAGCAATAATGACCTCAAGGTCACCCCTTGCACCAATATCCCCATCAACAATGAGTCCAACTACATTAAGAGGGGGTCCTGGTCTACACTGACACTCAGCCATGCCCGGGAAATGTGCCAGAAGGCCTCAGCCACGATCGACAAAGCCTTGCTGAAATCCAAGTCCTGCCATCAAGACTTGGCCTACCACTACCTGCAGGTGGGTGCAGAGCAGAGGACTTGGCTTTCTACATATGGGGAGACTCTAGGCTTGGGAGGAGGTGGGGAATATTCTTCTCTGAGGCAGGTGATAGACCTTATCAAAAAGCTCCTCCGCTCTAGATGTTTCACCTCAAGTTATCCCAGTCCCCGCTTGGAGGGGAGTTCACAGCCCCCAGGGACACATTGCCAGGAAAGGGCTGGGGAGGCTGAGGGGAGATTTAAGTTCTGCCCAGGCCCCAGCTGTGCGGAGCATCACCTCCTGTGGGGACCTGGCACCGGTGCTGACAGGGTCCGGCCCCCTCAGCTGCAGTGCTTCCCCAGGGCATCCCCCTCAACCTCCTCCGCTGGACATGGAAGCAGAAGGAGGAGCTGCTGTGGCCAAGCTCACGCATTCCCCACAGCACTATGGCCTCGGCACCCTCTTTTGTGACCCCCATTCACCGGGGGAGCCCTGTGCCCTGAGCACACGTTCACTGCCCACCCAGGCCCTGCAGATGCCAAAGCCAAGGTGAACCCAGCTCCTAAGCAGCCTGACTCCTACGTGTGCACAGCCAGTTCTGCTCCCCCCTGGGCAGTTACATGGACCAAGGGGCTGTGGCTTGTGTCCCACCCTGACAGGAAGGCTCCCTGGCCTCTGGCCAGGCACTGCAGCGATTCCACCATCCAAAGGACACCAATAATAACTGATGCTTAACCCCTTATATCTACGCGTCACAAGGATGTGCCAGCGTGCCCAGTAAGCCCCGCTCTGCACAGCTTCCCAGGAGTGCTGGTAGGAACAGCAGCTCTGCAGGGCATGGCTCCGTTTGCTGGCTCACCCCACACGCAGGGAAGCGGCTGTGGGGTGAGAAGAGCAGCACCAGCTGCCCAGCTTGCATGGCAGAAGCCTGCATGGCTAATGCTGGGTGCCACAGGTTTGAATCCCCTGTCCTCATAGCGCCAGGTCACCTTGGAGCCTGGCAGGTTCAGAAAGTATCGCTGGAGGATCATCAAGCTGGTCGTGCCCTAGAGAGAGGAATGAAGATAAATAAGCCAGGCCTGGATGGGGGGAGGCAAGGGAGTGAATAATCAGATGGACCATGTATGTAAATCTCAAACATCTTTTTTTTTTTAATGCAAAGGTGTCACTGGATCCCCTGGCTGTGGCCAGCGGGCTTGAAGGCTTTAAAGAGCAATGAATTATTGAAGCACTCTGCTTCCAATATCTTGCTGGCCCCTTCTGCAAATCAAATTATGGAGGGACTTATTGCATCAGGAAAGTCATCAGCAAAAGGTTCTTGGCCTGGTTTCTTTTTCTTTGTCCTCCTTTCAGCTAAATGTGTGAGATTAAAACGCTGGGGACAAAGTCTCCACCGGTCCGATCCATGTTCTGTGCGTGGTGGCAAACAGCCCAGCAGAGGTGGCCCCGAGCACAGCGAGCCCCCCCAGCCCCGCGGGGGTTCGGCCGCCTCAGGGGTATGAGCCTGCCCTGCTCAGTTCTTCCCCACCCATGTAATGAGCCTCCGTTTCTCGGCAGCCGGACCGTGGGCTGTGGGCGCAGCTGGGTGGCGTGAGCCCGGCCAGCAGCTGGGCAGCCCCGCCGTTCGGCTGGGAGGAAACGGGAGCCGGCCCGCCGCAGCCGAGCGAGCTCCCGCCGAGCTGGGAACAGCCTCTCAGCCCTGGGCCAACCGACGCAGGCAGCGGCCAGGTAGGGATCTGGTTTTGGGAGGAAGCTTTTGCTGAGGTACCTCCCCTCCCTGACCTTCCCCGGAGCATCAAGTGGGGTCAGCAGCCCCGGCGCCGCAAAACTCAGAGTAGAAACTGTCCAGGTAGGGGGGAGCCCGGAGCCTGCGCCCTGCATGGCTTGAGGGAAACCCGGGCTATGCCAGAGGGTGTGATGGTGTCTCAAGGACCCAGGCTGGTCCCATGACTCACAGGGCCTCACCGGCAAAACCGGACAAGCCCCAGGACCCTGAGGCCACAGCTGTGATGTCTGTGCCCCACAGCAGATCGTGGCTGCTCAGGCTGACCTTGTACCCCAATGCCTAGTGTGACCCCCTGAGGACAAGGCACAGGGCCAGGAGCACCTAGGGTCCTGTGGGCAGAATGAGGCAGTTGCATCCACATTCGTCCTCAGCCTGGGAGAAGTCCCAAGCCAGCGATGGAAATGTCACTCAGAGCCTGGAGAGACGTGTGTGGGAAAGTTCTGCTTACCAAGCCATGTGCCCCTTGCTACCTGCTCCTCTGTTACTCCTTCCCTAGAGGAAGGCCCCTGGAGGCCCATTTCCAGATCCAAACATTGGAGCTGAGTGCAGGTGATCACCAGCTCTTCTCCAGGTGCAGTTCTGCCCTGTGTAGGGGGCTTCTGTGGAGCAGTCCTCAAGGCGATGGCACTGTCCTTGGAGATGGCTTGAGAATAGCCCTCAATGGATGGAGGCCTTGTTCCTTCTTCCTTCTCCTCTCCTCTGCTTCAGTGGGACCCTATGTGTGGTGGAAGGAAAGAGACTGAGAGGCATGGCTCCCAGGATCCAAAGAGCTGCCTGAAGTGAGACAGACCAGAGCAGGACAAGTGCTAAGCAGGGCTAAACCAGACCTGGCAGGGTGCAGGAGCATTGCTCTGTTCTGCACTGACTTCAGACCCACATTGCATTGACACAGCGATAGCGCCGAAGGGATGGGCAGGACTCCCAGCTCCGAGCAGGCTGCTTTACTTACGTATGCTGCGTAGCAAGGGAAGGAAAACCCCAAGCTACCAAGGCAGTGCTTCACCTCTCAGCACTGCAGACGTGCGTGAAGAGATACTGTGCAGGGCTCTGGCCTTGTCCATGCCCAGTGTTATTTCCCTCTCCTAATCACCCCCCAAAATAAGCAGCAAGGCACTCGGAATCCCGGTTGCTCCAGGCCATATGGCAGGAAGCGGAGGGGCCACGAAGGGCCCTGCCTTCACTGGGACCGTGGTGACTCTCCAGGTGACAGGGTCACACCATGAGCATTGTTAGCCTGCACCATCACCAGATTGAGCCTTCCAGAGCTCTCTCATAGCCAGAAGACAGTGAAGCCTCTGTAAGCCCCAGTAGCTCCAAATATGCATTCATCAGCCCAGGCAGGCAGCCCATTCCGTGCCAGTCACTCCGCAGATCCTGGCTACTCTCACACCAACCCACATAGCTTCAAGGGGCAGGAAAGCTGATCCAGGCCTTCTCAGAGGGTGCCTTTCCAAAAGGGTAGACTGGATCGATTGGCATGCAAGGCTCCCACTTTCTTCCCTGAGGACAGGGCTGAGACCACATAGCTGTATATGGACACCACGTGGGATCCAGCCCTGAGGAGAGTGGCAGGTTACCCTCGTTAATCTCAATATCCGTGCATTGGAGCCTGGCTGCATGGCACACACATCCCTGCATTCTGTGTCCAGCTCTGCGTGTGCCTTCACGGGTGCATTCATGTTTGGGTGCATGTCCATGTGTCCTGGGGATGGGATGCATGTTGGAGCCAGTACCTGTGCAAATGGAAACCACTTGTTTTTACTGTCTCTCTCCTCCCAGTCATCTCCTAAACATGGGGAAGAGCACAGCTCTTCCATCGTGGCCTACAGTCTAGGAGGTGGATTTGTTCCTTTCACTGCTCCTCCCTCTTAAGAGTCTGTTTGTCTGTTTGGGAATGCCCCAAGCAAGCTTAGGATAGGGGGAACCCTCTGCTTTCTACTCCAAGCTTGGCTCATGAAGCTGAGGGCAAAAGAGCCAGAAATCACCACTTCACTGCAAAGCGCAGTATTAGGGCAGGATGGTGCCAGCGGAGCCCAGTTCCCAGGGATGGATGGATACATGTTTGGATCCCACATGCCTGTACCGAGAAGGATCATGTGGACTGAGACTAGGCAGGAAGCAGAGGGGCAGTCTGCATGGTATGCCTCTGCTGTCCATGTCCAGCAGCCATCTGCAAGAGCTTTGCAGATGGACCCAAGATCTGCTCAAATCCTTCAAGAGAGCTCTTGTTCCCACCCTTTTCACATCAACAAAACCACCATGTGCCAAATCAAGCCTACATTTGGGAAAGCTGCAGGAAAATCAGTAAGGCTCCCATTTCTTGTAAGAACCTCTGGAGCTTCTCTGTGCAAGGCCAATAAGCCATGCATGGCAGCTCTCATCACCATTTTGTCCTTTCTTTAATGCACAGCATGGGTTCATGCCCAGAGTCTCAGCTGCCATGAGAGGTACTGCCATTGAGGTGCTGCCTTGGCCACTGCTGAGGTCTGCCTCTTGATAGCAGAGCGTGCTCTGGGCTCTTCACATGTTCTGCAGAGATTTAGAGATTAGGGGATAGGTTTCTCAGGTGCCTGAAGATGCAAAGAAGTACTGAGCAGGATTCTGAAGAAGGAATGGGCTTTAGACTGCTTTGGAAGTGTTTGTCTCTTCAGGAACAGCATCTTTGAGACACTGATCTTGTGCTCTGGGCCACACAGAGCAAGAGGCTCTGTGGGCTCTGTCTGCCAACTGGCAACTCAGCCCAGGATGCTGCTCCAAACTGGGACACCAGATTTAACGAGTTTCCTGCCAGGATCTTTTTTGCCCTTGATGCTATTAAAATGGAATGTGGAACACCTTGAGGGCAGCTTTGCTACTGGCATCAGCATCACTGCCTTTCCAGGGTGCAAAGTGGAGGAGAGGTGAGAGAAAGGGGAAGCAAAGCAGCCCAGTTAGGATCAGAGGACTGTCGCAGTGCGACAGGAAAGCTGCTGTTCCTAGGCTCCACCTGGGAATACCCTTGGGAACCCAGGTCCGAAGAGCTTTGCGTTGAATCTCTATGGGACAGGCAATGCTATGGGAGGCTTTGCTCACACTGTTGTAGACAAGCAGCACTGGAAGTGGTATATTGAAACCACCAGTTTTGACAATGCTTTGTCCAGAGTTGAGCTTGACAAAGACCAAACCGAGGTTTTGCTGAGTTGACCTAGACACAGACACTACCCTCAAGAGCAGAACCAGAGTAACCACGAAAGCTCAAGGTTTTAATGGCACCTCTGTCTTCAGGCTCTCTGGAGGAACGGGAAATGCGGGGATGGCCCCAGCACCCCACTGCCACGTGAAACAGACCCTCGGCCCCTGCAGTGCAGATGGCCACGTCCCTCTCACCCTTGCCTGGCATGGAACTTGCAGGCTGCTGGGACCCCAGTGAAATGGCTTTCTCACCCCAACGCCCCTGCCCCTCGCTGGCCCAGGGGGCTTGCTGGTGGCAGGCTGGTACACACTCGTAGGAGAAGGCAGGCAGCAAAATCCCGTATCAAGCCAGATGGGACCCCAAGGTGGCCAGTATAAAAGTGCTTACAAAGGCTCCTGTCTCTTCCTTAGAACAAGTGAGAACAAGCCACCCCAAGGACCTATGGGTGACAGAGAGTTCTCTCCCGTGGCAAGGGCTGCACCAGGGAGCAGGGTCAATTGGATCCAGCATGGTCCCTTCTAACTGGCCCATGGGAGTCCTCGGTATGAGTAGTTGGGCTCACACAAGCAAGAGAAAGGGCACTCCGCTCCTGCTTTGCAAAAGCCTGCAAGACTTCACCCGAGAGCCTGCAAGAGTGTGCACAGTAAATCCTTACCTGGGCAGCCTCACTGCCTTGCAAGGAGCCAGCCCAGAGGTCATTGCCAGGCATGATCTTGGGAAGGGCAGAAGGGGAAGGAGCTGGGAAAACCTGCAACAGCAGAGGAAAGGAGGCCAGGAAAAGATTTTCTCACATGCAGGGTTCACTCCACACCAGCAACATGATGCCCTTGGTTCTCCACTTTGTGCACTTAGTGGACTGCTCTTGGCTGAAGAGGGCAAGTCATGGTGGGAGCCCCATCACCAGTGGGGCTGTGACAGTCAGCCTTACTCACTGTCAGGCTATGTGATTCTGCTAAGCATAGCACTGGGGTCCCCCCTTGTCTTCTGAAGAGATGCAGCAAGCACCAGGCAGGTGGAGCATGGGGGAGCTCCCCTGGGCAACAGAAAGCTCTTGTTGTGAGCTGAACTCCTGTGCATGGATTCCGCCTGCTTGTGGCACCCCCCAGGGCTCCAGCTCCTCAGGGCGATGGGAAGACGCTACTTGCCACCCCAGGAGCAGTAGCACATTGGACCTTCAACCCAGCTGCATCTCCCAGAGAACAGGCCTGCTGCAGACAGGAAGGGTGGGCAGACGGGAAGTTCCGTCTCCAGGTGAGGAGCAACTTCTTTACTGTGAGGGTGACAGAGCAGTGGAACAGGCTGCCCAGGGGGGTTGTGGAGTCTCCTACTCTGGAAGTCTTAAAACCCGCCTGGATGCCACCCTGTGCCACATGCTCTAGGTGTCCCTGCTTGAGCAGGAAGGTTGGACTAGATGATCTGTAGAGGTCCCTTCCAACCTTAAATATTCTGTGAATCTGTGAATCTGTGAAGTAAGCTCTGCTTAACTGCTCTGGCTAATAACAGTTAACTGCAACATGGCTCTTTACATTCCCAAAGCACTATATAAACACTGCCTGATTAATTCCGTGGCTCCCCAGGGAGCTGGGTAAATCCAGCAGCTCCATCCAGCAGAGTAGATGTGGACGCTCCTCACAGAATGAGCTGCTCTCAGCAAAAGGCTCCTTCCTCACTACTCAGCGATCCCCAGCCAGTCTGCTTCCCACCGCAGAGCTGAGGGTCTTGGGGCTGCCTTGCTCTGTGCATGTTTGTAAGGCAGAGAAGAGATCCCAGCTCAGGATCTGCAGCTTTCCCCCTCCTCCACAGCGCGCTGCAGTGCCTGCAGCCAGTGCAGCGGTGCGTTTCCAGGTGTAGCACATACCAATAGGCACAGCAGCCCCTTGCTGTCCAGAGACCCAGGGGAAACAGGGGACAGCAGCAGCCAGGCTGGGGATGGAAGCTCAGATGCATCCAGTGGCTTTGCCAGGGCTGAGCAGCAGCTAGTGACCCGTTTGCCTGCCCTTCTCTCACAAAGCCAGATCACACCGTTGCACACTTCGGATGTCGAAAACAGGAGGACAGACCTTTGAGCAGGGAACCTCTCGGGAAACATTGAAAGAGTTTGCTTTTGTCCTGACAAATATCCCTTGCTCCTTCTTTTCCACATTTATTCATTTCAAGGGTTGGTTAAACACCAGCTACAAACTGAGCTAGCCCCAAGAGCAGGACTTCCTCCTGGCCAATTTAGGTTATCCCATGTCTCTCCTGACCTGTCCCATACTACATGTGGCTCTGGTCCTGAATGGTCCTGTGCCGATGTCTGGTTCTGCTGCTGTCCATCGACCTTGGCTGTGCCCTTCTGGCAGCTCTATAAACCCTTCACAGGTGGAGACAGACAGTGGAATAGTGTTAGTCACTTGATTTGCTTTGTGTTTCACATCTCTTGTGGGAAAGCTTCCCCATCTCTAGTAATGGAACAGAGACTTTTTCTGCCTTAAATTAATGGCAGAGTCATTGTATAAATGAAATGAGAAATGTTTTCCATATGTAAGGTAGTATTGAGCTCTGTATAGAGATACCAGTGCAAGCTTTATGTACCTCAGCTGCTCCAGAGAACTCCAGAGGGACCCAGCTTGTCTTCAAAGATGACCTAGAGTTGCCAATAGTCACCTTCAACTCAGACACCTTGCTAAGGATCTAGTGGAGGGCTGGGCTCTGGCTAGGCAGCCACAGGTCCTAGTCTATGATATCTCCTGTTGGCCTTGGCCCAAACAATGTGTGCACTTGCCATTAAATGAGCATGGGCTTTGCATCAAGCAAGAGTGTGCCGCTCCTATCCCAATGTCCAGCACAAGCCTGGTGAGGCTCTTCCCTTCTCACTATGTCTGGCATTGTTCATCTTAAATCAACTGTGTAAGCATGGTCCATTTAAGGCTGCTCTGCAGTTGTGGTTGGATTAATGATTGTGGGTAGATGTGCTAAAATTGAGGCAATCAAACATGCTTCCTGGCATGAGCTGGCAAGGGAGGGTCAGAAGGGAATTGCTTTGCCCTTTCCCACTATGCTCCAGCTGAGGGTCAGCTTTGTGACCAAGCCCCTGTGGTCCCCCTGATCTCAGAGGCACCTTCCCTCATACCTGCTCATGCTCCCCTTGCTCTTGCAGGTGCCTCAGGGGGAGTGGAACAACACGCTGTCTCGGGACAAAGACAGCGAGATCCCGTGCCGACGCATGCGGAGCGGGAGTTACATCAAAGCCATGGGGGATGACGATAGTGAAGACTCAGAAACCAGCCCCAAACCATCCCCGAAAACTGCAGCTCGGAGGCAGAGTTACCTCAAGGCCACCCAACAGTCCCTGAGTGAGCAGAGCACCACCCAAAGGTAACGCTGGAGCTCCCCCGGGAGCTCTGCACAGGCTCCCCAGGGGCAACCCCAGGAACAGTCCGAGGGGTTTGGCCAGCAGCACCCACATGGGGACCCAACACAGGGATCAGAGCCCAGCAGAGCTCCTGCACACCGGCTCAGACAGGCCACGGGGCAGCAAGGAAGATGATGTGGTGGAGGAGTGGAGAGAGCACTCTAACCCTCGTGACTGAAACAGCCCCGGTGTTGAAGAGCCTGTTCCAGGTTCCTGTCCTCTCAGCAGTGGGAAGCAAAGCCACAGGGCACTTCTTTGGTGAAACTGTGCATTTTCCCTAGCTAAGGATCTGCTCCTCCTAGGGAACAGAGATCCCGCTCCATTGATGCCTTTTAGACACGGAAGATACTCAGAGAGCATGACTGAATGCACCTGGTGCACAGAGCACAGGCAGCTGGGATTTCGTGGCGTGCTTTGCTCTTCCAGTGCTCCAAGAACTCTGGGACCAGCCAGAAAGTGCCTGTTGGGGAGATTAGACTGAACAGTGTCTTATAGCCAGGAAAGACAAGCTGAAAGTCCCAAGACCAGGTGTTCTGGGAGGAAGATTCAGGTAGCTTGATGGAGATAGCAGAGCAAAGGGTACACAACAAATGTGTGTGCTGGGCAAGGGGCTGGGTTCTTGCAGCGCAAGGTCCCTATGAAACACATGAATCAAGGTGATGGTGTGCAATATATTTAGCAGGCGAACACACAAGCTAGCCACCTCATCTCCTAGCTGCCTACCTGCTGCCCTGCTTCCTGGGAGAAGGTAGCGAGGGCCTGTAACAGGTTATGACTGAAGCAGAAAGTGCTGGGGCTCCGGTGGAGATATGAAGGACAGCAGGAGGCAGGAGCAGCTACAGGAAATAAACTGCTCATGATTCGGCAAATATTTCCAGAGAGAAGCAAGGGAACAGCAGGCAACAAGGAAACCCTTCATGGTGGCATCAAACTGCTGAAGAGATGCCTCTTTCAGATCAGAAGCAAAATTAACTCTGAGTCCATCCCTATTTCTTGTTTCTGCACACACTTGAGAGAAAGAAGAGTTGCATCCAGTGGTCTCTCATGTAAAATAGAGTGCTTAGAGATACCTGGGTTGGGAGGGTCAGACCATTCCTGCCAGGACTAGTTGCCTGTTGAGGTCATTTCAGAGTGTGAAACTGTCCCTCCTCTGGCCTGCTGTGTCGTGCGGATGGAGAGCACAGACGTGCAGCTTCGAGCAAAGGGCTGGAGCGACTGGCAGAGAGGGCAGAGGCAGCTGAGCCCATCTCACCATGGGGATGAGCTAGGTGGGGAATGACTAGTTATTTAGGGAATGATTCAGGAGCGCCCATCTCAGAGAGCGCACAGGCAAGAGCTTCACTGCAGGGACTGATCTTGTTCCAGGAAACGGGATTCTGTCAGCTCCTGGCGCTCTGATTCTGTGAGCGAAGCCAATTGTCCCAGCTTGCTTGTCCCCTGGGCCTCAGCCACAGTGGGGCCAGGTCTTCGCGCTGGGCACGTGCCATGCGTTTCCAGCGCTGTGCCTGGCACAGGACCCATCCCAGTCAGTCCCATGCCGGAGCGTGAGCACGGCTGCCATCTGCCGACCACCCCTCAGCTTCCTCCCTCCCTCACATCCCTCTCGGGGTGCTGTGGCGGGTTTGGTTGCTGTGCGGCCTGACTGGGGTCCCCCCCATCACACTGATGGGACAGGCAGCCCAAGACAGGCTAGCGGGAAGCATCAGCAGCACCATCTACAGTCCTTGCTGTGCCAGTGCTCACCAGAGCTCTGCACAACTAGCACGTGAGACTAATTCCCCTCAGCAGGCGCTGCACACCCCATCTCCAATCTCACCAGCCAAGAGTCACTGCATCTGCAGCTCAAGACAGGTTGGACTTCCCAGAGAAAGAAAGCTGCAGTCTTGCCCAGGTGCGGAGGAGTGAGACAGGATCCCGGGTCACCACTAGGTCCTAGCCCCATGAGAGGATCTCTGCCCTTTCAGACAAAGCTGTAACCTGCTTTCTGACTCAGTTTCCCCATAGCCAAGCCATTAAGCTAAATCAGGAGGTGGTCCAGCAGGCAAGCATGTGAGGCCTGCCCTGGACACTGCCTGCCCCAGGACATGCCTGACTTGTACCATGAGGTGCTCACAAGCTTATAGATGAGACCCTTTCAAGCTAAGGGGAATGACGCACTCAAAAGATAGTCCAGGGCACAGGGCATGAAGTGGCCCTCAATGGGTGGCCAGGCTCAGCACCAGGTCTCCTGGGGGCTGGGTGTCTCCTCTATCAACAGGCAGGGAAGAGGTTGCTCCCCACTCTTGTTCATGACCAGAAGTGCCACAGGACTTCCTTGCACAAGGCTCTGTTGTGCCCCGGACACACCTTGGGATCAGCCCTTCCAGGGCAAGCAGGCTTACTGTCCTCCAGAGTGCCAGTCCTGCCATCTCTTCTACAGACCATGGTGCTCCCAGCTCTGCAGATCCGTGGCTCTCACTGTAAACAGTCGTGTTCTGGGTGTGCAGGGGGTAGCTGAGGGGGGCACAGCCCCACTCTTGGGGAACGGCTGTCATGCGGCCATGCCCACCTGAGTGGCGTTGTCACCACCAGTGAGCAGTCGGGCTGTACAACTAGGGGTGGATGCAGTGGCGAGGGGTGTCCCCCAGGACATAGACCAGCCCAGGCTGATGAGGGACTGACATCACGCACCCCATGACATTTCCGAACAAGGAGGGACTGTTCACCCCAGCAGTGCTCTGTTAGGACCACAAGCATCTCAAAAGGGAGCTCCCCAGCAGCTAACCTAGCCTGGCACAGCTGAACATGTCACCTACCATGCATGCAGCATGCCCTGCCACGTGCCCAGGAGCTCAGGCCGTGCCCGCAGAGCCTGTGCCTTTCCATATGTTCGTAGAGGACTGCACTGGGCTACCACGCAGGCTACCTGCTCAAGGTGGCAGGTTGTCATATACGCCCCTGATCTGTGGCAAAGGCTCCCGCAGCCACACACAGGGTGTCGTAGTGGCACTGAAGAATGGGAGAGTCCCATCCACCCCACAGCTCTCCAGTCCTTCCTGCATCCCGCCCGGCCCCTGTGTGCCCACCTCTCAGCAGAAGCCATAGCTGGGCAGAGCCCAAGACTCTTCTCCTGGCATAGGGGCTCCCACCAAACCCCAGGACAGTGGTTCCCCAGAGTCTGCAGAGAAAGATGTTCAGAATATACTGAACTCCTCTGCTCCTGCAAAGATGCTACTCAGGACCAGTTCATCTCCATCCTCTTCCTGATAACCTCTTGGTTTTTCCTATACTACTACTACCACCACTACTACTACTGCTGCTAATGATGATGATGATAATAACAAGAACAACAACAAAGTTGTTGTTGTCCTGTGAATAATAATATAGTCCTGTGGATGTTTTCAGATCAAATGTCCACAAAATATGACTGAAAGGCTTTTTCCCATCCCACACCCCACCCCTTCCAGCCAGTCTGAGCAGGGAAGGTCTGGCTTCTTTGACTTCAGCACCCAACATCAGCCTGTGCTGGAGTGACCACAAGGGTTGGTGAAGATGCTATATGTTCCTCGGGATTAGACTGGACTAACCTGGCACCTGCAGCACATTTCTTGCAGTGAGATCCAAGGTCCTGTCCCCTCTTCTCTTCCTGAGCTCAACAAAACCTTCAGCCATGTGCCAGACCAGAGTTTAAACCATGGGCTGGCAAGGTGGAAAAGTCCTTCTCTCTATTCCAGGAGCTCCCAAGAGGGCCAGGCCATGAAATGAGTACCCAACATTGGCACACCCATACCTGACAGATGGTGCCATTGGACAGGGTGGTGTGGCCCAACTGGCCCATAGCATACAACACACAACCCCAGCACTGCCCTCGCTGTGCACATGCTTCCTCACACCTTTCTCTCTCTCCTGGTAGGAGTCTGGACCGCCTGGACTCTGTGGAAATCCTCCTACCTCCAAAGTTCCCAACCTGGGAGGAAGAATACAACCAGATCTCTGACAGCGTCAACGAGTCCAGTTGCATCAGCCAGGTGAGATGCTGGAAAGCTGGACCAAGCTGCACTAGTGCACCCAACCCCAAAAGATGAAGGGGGCTGGCTAAGGGGGCACAGGAACATTTCTCTCCTCCTACAAAATAAGGCTCTGGCTGCACTCCAGTAATGGGCAAGCTAGTCTTTGGCAGCTTTGCCAAGGCCTCAGGGTCAGCTCCTTAATTCTGGTTCATATTGGACCCCTCTTGCTGTAGCTTTTGCTTCCTCTCAGCTCTGCTGGTGCAGCTGAAGTCACGCTAGCCACAGCTACAGGTATTGCAGCCCTGCAAAGACCTTCATAGTGATGGATAAAGCTCAGGGCTGCTGAGTGCACAGGTCCAGTCCACCCTGGGACGGGGACTGTTCCTTCGGTACTCAGCTGGAAGTGGCCTGGGGCAGCAGTGGCTCCATGAGCCTTGCCTAGCTGTCTCACCGTCAGCCTGGGCCTCGCTCATGTGAAGTCGCTGTTCACGTGAGTATTCATGGCAATGTGTGCACACGCATGCCCCGCTCTGAGCTGCTCCAGAGTGTCATCCGCACACACTGCCAGTGTCCAATGAGCAAGGAAGGCAGCACAACCCAGTGGTGAAAGAAGTGGGCTGGATATCAGGAACCAGAGCACGGAGGAGATGTGAGATTTGTGCCCTGGTACCCCCATACGGATGCATGGGGCTCTGAGTCCACATTCATCTCCAGCTCCCACCACAGGTTGGTTTCTCCTGCTGTTACTCCCATTTGTGTGGTTGGAGCCGCTTGTGGAGAGCTCTGGGGAAGGGCACAGAACATTGCTGTACTTGTTCCTTGTGGTCAGTCTCGTTCTTTGTACATCAGCAACAATGTGCTGGATGTTTCATTGCACAGAGAAACAGGTCGGATCATCGTACTCTTGTGCTTTGTACGTAAACCTGTGTCTGAAGTCAGGCCTCATCTCCAAGTGAGACAACAGGCGCGCTGAATTTGTGTTCTCCCCCAGCCCAAAGTTACCATCTAGCAGCTGAGTCCAAATAAGAACATCAGGAGGCTCTTGGAGATGAGGAGTCTAAGCTGCCTGTGATTTGCAAGGAGCTGCACAGTCAAACACCACTTTCCAGATGTGGAGTACTAGCCCTGGAACGCAGGTGGCATGCTATCTGGGGTGTGAGCTGGTGCCCCTTGCACTCTATCTGCCTTCCTCCAGAACAAGGGCTCCAGTTGCAGCCAGAGTGGGATTTAGAAGACCTCATAGATGCTTCTGTTGATTTAGAACAGACCTAGTACATCCACCTTGTGTGCTTGTGCTGGTCTGATCTTTTGGAACTGTGATCTGTCCTTTGACATCGTGAGCACTGCAGGCAGTTCCTCCCTTGCCCTCACTTTTGTGTGACCTCCAACAAGGCGAACCCTAGAGTTCTAAACAGGGAGCATCTGCAGCTCTGCAAGACAAGTTCACTCTACTTGGTTTTATGCCAAATGAGCTCCACCTTGCAAATTTCTGGAAATATGGAGTTCTTCTGCTGTGCATGTCAGCATCCACCTTTTACAACAAGGGAACTAGTACTTTGACACACCATCTGCTGACCCCCATATCACATATCCACACTTTGATCTGCCCCTCTCTGTGGAGGGGCATGAAGTGGGCCCCAGACTCAAGCACGTTCATCTTGAGTACGTTTGGAACCTGGATTCTTCTTAAGATGGATTATATTGGGCAGCTCCTGTAGCGAAGACCTCACAGGATGGATGTGCTCTGCAGAACTTGGATAGAAGGAACTGACTGAAGAGGACTGGCTGCCCCAGGCCACTACCCCACAGGCAACACAGTGTCTTGTCAAGCATCTCTTGTAATGCAAGTGTGTGCTGTGACTTTACTGTGGAGAGAACGGAGTATCACGTCCACGTGGCTTCTTCCTAGACTGATGAGAAGTGAGGTTAGAGCAAGCTGGCCAGCCCAGCACCCAAAAGGGCTAGATGAAGGTCAAGCAAATGTCCTCTGTGGAGCACTCCAGACGCCCATCCACTCCTCAAGTGTCAGGCGCAGCCTGCGGGGACCCATGCCTTCTCCTGGACATGCCACTGAACTCCTGCGGCACTGCAGGGAGGGAGCTGAGGTGCTGGCCAGATCAGTACTGGGAGCTAAGCTGGGGTCCTAAATGGGAGTCACAGCAGCCCTTGTCCCACAAGCACAGACACCCTGCTTGTGCCCAGGGGTGTTGCAGCACTGTGTTCCTGCTGTCCAAGTGTGCCCTATGTATCTATCTAGTTCTATATGGTGCATACCACAGGCTGAACGCATCAGCACCTTCTCTCCACTTCGGAGGTGTCCCGTGGAGCTGTGCCGTGCCATGTCTGTGCCACTGTCTGAGGAGCCTGAGTGGTGCCAGGCCACACCAGCACTTTGCTTGGTGTCTCATGAGTTCAGAAGTTTGTGCTGAGCTGCCAGCAGTCGTGGCCCCAGAGAAAGGACCGTCTGCACGCATCGTCCTCAGTCCCTGTGCAGTGCCTGTGTGTGTGAGGGCCTCCCTTGTTCTTGGCCTTTAACCTTCTCCAACTCTTTCTTCCAGATCTTTGGACCCCCCTCACTTATCCCTCAGATATTTACCCATGGAGAGCAGGTACCGTCCCGCTGGTGTTCCCCTCTTCCTTCCTCACAGAGCTTTCTTGGGTCACCCCCAGCGCAGTGCCTGGGGTGTGCAGGCAGCTGGTGGGCTCAGCCTTCACCCAGGACCCAGTGGGAAGAGCAGAAGGAAGGTCTCTCCAAGCTGAGGCATTCTAGGCAGCCGCAGAGCTTGATTTTTCCCCATTCCTGGGAGGGGGTAAGGGAGCATCAGTCTTGGGTGGAAACTGATGAGCTTTTTGAGCTAAACTTTACCATTGGAGAAAGGCTCCAGACACCAAGGCCAGGCATACTGTTCTTGAGGCCTAAGAAAGGGCCTGGAGAGATGGGAGCGGGCAACAGGTCCAATCTCAGCATCGCTCAGCAAGTGTATTTCAAAACGCTCTGTTTTAGGTTGGCTGGAGAGCCTCTCCTGAGTTGAAGCTTCACCAGCTGCTGCCAATGGAGAACAGGGTGACATGGTGTGGGAGGGAGAAGCTGGGGTAGCAGCAAGAGCAGACAACAGAGCTGCTCCTGCTCGGGACTCATCATGCTTTGACCCAGCACCCAGCCATCCCCTGGACAGGGCTGGGGTTGAATTCCTGAGAGCAGCAACGCAGCACAGGTCCAGGTGGCCCTGGGCTAAGCATGCCCCCCTAACAGGAGGTGACCTGATGGGGTCTTGCAGATGGGCTTTGGGCTCCCCAGCCTGGCCAGCAGGCACTGGGAGACCTTTCAGAGGTTGAGCAGGGTCCCTTCCATCAAAGCTCCCTTCCGTCAAACACGGGAGAGCTTCACAGGCAACATGGTGGTGTCTCCTGCTCCACAATCAGGCCTTGCAGGAGGCCCCGTCTGCCCGTTCTCATGGCAGAGAAACCAGGAGCGCTGCTCTGCAGCCTGCGCGGGCCGCTACACCTCCCACCGCCGTCCTGCCAGCATAGAGTTGAACCCAGTTACAAACAGCAGCACCCTGGAGCACAGAGAGCTCCAGGAGGAGGGAGGACGAGTCACGAGTGGAAGGGGAAGGGGCCTGGCCCCACGCAGGGGGTGACTGGCTCTGCCCCTCTTCCCGTGCAGGCAGGAGAGCCGGAGCTGGGCGAGCAGTACGAGGCCGTGTGCGACTCCACGTACAGCGAGGCCGAGTCGGCGGCCGTGGAGGTGCTGGACCTGCCGCTGCCCAGCTACTTCCGCTCCCGGAGCCACAGCTACCTCCGCGCCATCCAGGCGGGCTGCTCCCAGGAGGAGGACACGGGCTCCGTCCGCTCCATCTCCCCGCCGCCCGCAGGCAGCCTCAGCGGCAGCAGGACCCTGCCCAGCAACAGCAGTGAGTGCCAGGGCGGCCGCGACGCGACGCAACGCGGGTCAAGCGCGTGGGTCAGAGACCGAGGGCTGCGGGGCTGGTGGAGCCCCAGGCATGGGGCCACCGAGGGCCGATTGCCTGGAAGGTGCTGGCTCTGCAAGGTGCTGTCCTCGCGTATCTGCAGGAGCTACCTCGAGCCACCGATGTCCAGGAATTTTGTGGCTGCACAGGGAGATCCCTTTGTCTCTGTGCTTGTGCTCTGGCAAAGGGGGACATTGGTGTACGCGAGCAGGATGGATGGCTCTGGGTGGGTCTCCAGATGCAGAAGCTGAAATTGCAGACGGCATCTGGCCTGCACAGTTAATGCAACCCGTGGAAGGCCAGGAGAGCTGTCTCTTGGTCCAGACAATGCAAGACTGGGTCTAAGAGACATCCGCCTTATCCTGTGGGGAACCCTGGGAGGATGGGCAGTGCTGACCACTGTCTCTACCAGATGGGCTAGGGGTGCTGTGCAGCGGAGGGGGCAGAGGGAATCTTGCACAGGCAAAAGCTGCCTTTCTCCTGCAAGCCTTGGTGAGGGGCCAAGCAGCTGTGGAGACGCCTATGGATTGCCGCCTTCCTCTTCTTTTTCCTTCTCCCAGCCAGAAATGGAAGTGTCATTCCCCAAGTCTGGGCTACAGACAGCAGGTTTGACCTCTCTGCAAAATCCTTGGTAACAAAAGCATGTATCAGGGGTCCCACAGCATTTCCCCAGGCAGGGCCCAAGCCTATCCCGATCTCTGCAGCCCCTTAAGCCAGGAGGACAAAAAACATCTGCCCCTGTGCCTCAGTGATGGGGGAATCACAGGGCATTGGGGTTCACCATCAGCTCTGTTGCAGGCTCCTCAGAAAGGCAGGTCACCCAGAACCAGGCCTGGAGGGGACCAGACACGGGGCGTGTAAGGCTCACGGTGCGAGTTTGCCCCCTCTAGAGTCTCAGCAGAGCTAGCAGCAGCTCTGAGCAGCTGGGGCCAGCTCTCTAAGCAGTGTCTGGTGGGGCTTCCTCAGCTGAGGGTGAGAGGAGCAGGCAGGACTCCGAGGGGAGGTGGACCCAAGCACTGGACCAAGGCCCAGGTGCTGGTGTGCCAATGGGGGCCTCACCAAGGGGACCCCGCGCAGGGCCAGGCGTTAGCCCAGCTCTGCACAGAGGCCGAGCAGTCGCATGTGCCAGGCTCCCAGTTCTCTCCTGCCATCCCTTCCCTCCCCAGAGGCCAGGGGACAGAGAGGACAGCAGCGACAGTGGGGCTGCCCCCAGCCCTGGGGCTGCCGCCTCCATTGCATCTGCCTGGAGATGAGCCTTCCTTGGGAATCCTCTGCCGGTGAGACACGAGGAGCGTGCCCTTTGGCAGGACTGGCACCAAGTCCCTTCTGGCTTGGAGACATGCTGAATCACAGCTGCCACACAGATGTCTATGATGCATCTCTTAATATTTGCCCTTCTCCCGTCAGGGCTATTTGGACCAGAGGTCCTGATCCAAACAGCTCTGACACAGGCTAAAAACATTTAGTCTTGCTCTAAATGTGAAGGCACTAGTGAGTTGTTCAGAGCCCCGGAGCCCAGCACCCTGCAGCTTCCGTGCACGGCTATCCCTGAGTGATTAACAACGCTGGAGTGCACTCTGGAGGCCCTGCCTGCCTCTGCTGACACTAGATGACATTATTCATCCCAGACAGGCCTTTCTCTTCCTATTAGTAATTACAGGCTGGACAAAAGCCTGGCCTCTCCCCCAGCTATGAGTCAGGAGTGACTCCATGCCCATGGCAGAGGCTGGAGGCAGCCTCCTCCTGTTGCTGTTTCCAACCGGCTGGGCGGGCGCTGTGCGAGGCAGCTCCCTGCCCTGCAGCAGAGCAGCCTGTGCCCGACAGGACACGGGAGCGGGAGCTGCTGCTTGCTGAGCGCTCCCGTCTCCCCCAGCCCCACAGAACGGAGCGGCTCGCTCTGCTGCCCCTGGGGTGAGCCGGGGCTGTTAATGCTCTCAGCAGGACCGTGGTGCCCATCGCTCCCCGAGGAGGCTCCCGGCACACGGCGTGGGCTCAGAGACCATGTGGGAAGCAGGGAAAGTGAGTGCTCTGTCTGCAGCTGGAATTTGGCCAAGACACCAGTCTGAGGCACCTAGCTAAGACAAGGGCTGCTTAGACCCTGCTCTGGGCAGCAGGAAAGCCGGTGTGGGAAGCTGCTGCTTTTCCATCTCATCCCCAAAACAGCCGGTGCTGGCTCCCCACCCTGGGGCGCAGCACAGCCCTGGCCTGGAGGCTGTTGCTGCAGCCGAGCTCCAAATGTGTTTACAGAAGTGCTGCGGTTCCTCAACCAGTGAGCAAGCCCAGGGTCCACTGAGGATTCCTCCAAGCAGGTGAATAAGAAAAGCAATCTGCAGCAGTGGCTTAGATACTCCCCAGGGTCTGTGCCTCCCAGGGAAAACACATGTGAGGGCTGCAGACATCAGGACGGTTGGTTACTCTGGTTGCTTCCTCCAGTAATGAGTCCCAAAGCCCTGAGCAGAGCCCAGAGGTTCTGCAAAGCTCTGGTGCCAGTGCCGCCTTTCAGCGGGCATGAAGGCCTCACGGCATTTAGGGAGCTGGGAGAAGGCTCTGGAAAGCAGCTCTCCGTGGAAGGCTGCAGGGAGATGGCTATGCCACTAGCACCTTCCCCAGAAGGGAAAGCCTCCACCTTTCCGTGTAAGAGGGGAAGAGGAGCATTCACTTCAAGTCACTAAATCTGCTTTGCTTCTGCATTGCTTTCTTCTGAGCAGCCTGCGTCCCTTTCAGCTCCTTGGCCAGGCCCCCGTGTCCCAGTGGAGAGGCTCAGGTGTGACGCGGGGCAGGCCGTGAGGCGCTAAGGGTTCCCACCCGCAGCACGCTCATGCTCTCCTTGTCTGCTGTAGCACAGCGTCAAGGACGGCAGCCTTCATCCCCACTCCGGCTGCACTGAGCTTGTGGCTTCTCACTGTGTAAATCCTGCACGATGCTCTGACCACAGAAAACCACCCTGCCCACGGCAGCGTGGAGCGTGGTGTGCCAGAAGGAGGCTGTTTGACTCCCACGGCAGGTTTGGGGACTCCGCTCGGGAAAGGTGACTCTCTGATGCTCAGACGTGACCGTGCTTGGACATGGTGCCTGGCAGACCCCAGAGTGGGCAGGCGAGAGCCTGGGGTCCTGCCAGGGTTGTACAGTATGGCCAGCGAGTCAGGGACAAACAGCAAGTCCTGTCACCCACAGGGACAGTGTGGCCAGCAGGACAGGTTGCTCTTGGCATGAACAGGACACTGGCACCAGTCCACAGAGCTATGGGGGGGATTTGAGAACCGTGTCCCTCTGGGTGAGGCTGCCGGCACGCGCACTGCCCTGCTCTGGAGCTGCTTTGGTGGGAGCCGTGTGGGAGCACAGCGCCCGGACAGCGGCAGTGGGAAGGGGCAGCGATGGCAACTGTCGGGCCTTTTAGGAGGTGCCCACAGGGACCTGCCCACAGGCCCCCTGCCTCCCCCGGGCCCTGGCTCCAGGCCAGGACCCCACTCACAGAGCAAGTGCTAACAGTGTGAGCTCCTGAAGGATGAAGGATCTCTGTGGAAGCCCCCAGGCTGAGGCAGGGCCTTGGAAGGGATCCTCTGGGAGCACAGGGCTGCTTGCACTGCCCAGCTCCCTCACTCTCACCAGCTTCCCTGACCTCCTCCTGCTCTTCCCCACCACTTCATCTCGATACCCACAAAACCATCTTGTTGCTGCAGAGCTCCCCGCTGACAGGGCCGAGCTCAGCGCTGCTGCACAGGCAGGCCGATGTAGCGCAGCACCAGGAGCACCAGGCATTCCAAGTCACTGCTTGATCCTGGCGCGGCTCCTCTCTCCGATGTGACCTGGCGCAGACTTGCTGGTTCCGAGCATCCTCTGTCTCTGGGCATGGGCTGCTGGGGCTTTGGTAGGGAGCAGGTTTGATGGGGAGGGAAGGGGGAGGGAGAGGAGCATCTGTGTTTGTGTGTGCAAAGCAGGCGGCATATGCGGACAGCAGTCGCACCTTCAATCAGCCACCTGGTGTCGGTTCCTCTCGCAGATGCCCGAGTGCATCGCTGGGGCTTTAACTGGTCGCTTTTGTACCGTACAGCAGGAGCCTCCCAAGGCTCAGACCGGCAGTTCGCAGCTCCGCTGCATTAACGTACACGAGTACGGAGAAGCGGGTGCAGCAGATCGGGTGGGCACAGCCGCAGGGTCGCTCCTGGCCGCTGCTCCACGCTAGCCTGGGGACAGACCCCCAGATCCATCCAGATCTGGGCGCAGTTCTCACCCCACTGCCTCTCACAGACACCTTCCTGCACCCGCATCCATGCCCCGGGCTGGGGGACCGCTCAGGTCCTGTCCTCACTGAGGAGAGGCCTGGGCTCCTTGTCTGTGTGGAAGGATCCTGAAGAGGCATCAGCAGCAGGAACGACGGGCCTGACACGGAGGATTTCTCATCTTTGAGGAAGACATTGGCAGGGGGGCGGTTCGGATATAAAGCTAAGCAGCATCATGGGGTTCTGTCCTGGGCCCAGCTGAGGACACACAGCAAGCCCGTTCTCGTGGGATGCTGCGAGTCCTGGGGTCCACGCAGGGCAGGGAGAGGCTTTGTGGCCCTCACACCTCCAGGCAGCCACGGGGCTCCAGGTCCTCCCAGCCGCTTCCCTGTCACTTGCACCTTACCAGGCCATTAGCTCCCATGTGACAGCCAGCGAGACAGATGCCGAGCTGCCCTTGATCAGCATTAAACAAAGCCTTGTGCCTCGCAAAGCAGGAGATGCAGAGTCCCGGGGAACCCATTCATCTCACTGCCAGGCGTTCTGCTGACAGCCGCGCCGAATCCTCTGCATTAACAAAGGGCTTCCCAGCCCCAGCTCCTTATTATTAGAAGCATCACTGGGAATTGTTTGCTTAATAGTCTGCTTAACGAGAGAGAGCAGTGCTGGAAGAGCCCTGAAATACTTCATGTCCAGGAGAAAAATAAGACAGAACGTGGCGAGGCGAGCAAAGCGCAGCAAAAGCAGGTGAGAGGCCCCTGAGGGAGATCCCAGCCTCTCGGAGCACTCCAGTGACAGCAGGAAGAACTCAGAGCAAGCCAGTTGCTACTCAGGCTGTCTCTAGTCCTCCAGATGCCTCCTGGTAACATCGCCCTTGCTCAGGTGGGAGCAGCCTGCCCTGGCATTCAGCAGTCTGTGCCCAGAAACCCCCGTGCCCACAGGATAAGGATCTTGGGTGCAAATGCCTTTCCAAGAGACCAGGCAAGCCAGCTCTTGTTCCTCCTCCTGAACTGGGCCCTGCCTCTGTTGACCTGTCCTTCAAATGGGCTGCTCTGCCCAAAGGATGCCACCAAGTGACCTTCCAGGTCTCCAGCCCCGAACTGAACCCGGCCAGGGAATAGCAGCACCCAGAGCAGAAACAGCTTGAGAAAGATCGGTCCTCTCAGCAAGCCTAACCCTGACCCCCGTCAGCGCCAGGCAAGAGCCACCCGCACACCTGTAAGCAGAGTTGCTCCTACCTTACGCCTCGCTGCAGACCTGAGCTTTGCCAAGCCCCACGCGGGTTTCCAGAGCACCCCACGGGATGCACACTGCCCAGAGGCAGCAGAAAACAGCCAGGTCTTCTGCCCTCAGCCTGCTTCTTTTTGTCTTCTTTGTGTCTTTACTATTATTACTACTCATCACTGTGAATTAGAGGGATGGTTCCCAGTCTGCCGCTGCTCTGGTGGAAACGCTGTTTCCTGGCACTGCTGGTCCCACGTAGAAGCCTGCACGGAGGGACACAGCTGGGTTTCACGGGGGAAGACAACAGACGGCTGCAGCAACCACAGCACACAGCAGCGCTGCGCAGACAGGGGCTCCGGCTGGCCAAACCCCCGAGGGCTCGCTCACCTAGGGAAGGACTTGCCATGGCTACGGAATCAATCGTTACTTAGCCCTGGCTTGCGAGGGAAGGGCATGTACACCCTTCCTGTGGGGTGTGATTACCTGGTGTCCATGCCCAAAGGCTCCTTGCCTCTTTCAGCTGGCCGCCCCGGGGTCTGCCCAGGCCTGGATCACGGTATTCTCTGCTTTATGGGGAGAATCCAGCCTGAAGGCTAAGGAACAAAAACCAACTCAACAGGCTGGGACACATTGTTCAGACTGAGCACCACCGAGGCCCCCTGCTAATCGTATCAGCCAGGCCTGACCCCATACAGCCTTTGAAGGCAGAGATTGTTGTCGTTCCCTTCAGATTTTCTCCTTCTTTTTGACCTAGATTTCAGGTTCCAGAAATAGCTTTCTCTGACATACCAGTAGGAAAGGGATTAGGGAGTGTGTGCGTACATGTGTGTGCCTGTGCATCTGAGAGAGCAGATATTTATGTTCCATGATCTATCCATGTGTCCGTGGGACACAAAGAAATCTGACTGCTGCTCTATACTGGCATGCACATTTTTCCCCTCTAATCCTTTGTTATTATGGAAACTCCACTTCCAAGCTCTGGGCTCCAGGCAGTGCTCCCTTTAACACTGTTTTCAGTGTTTCTGCCTGCTCTCAAATCCCAGAAACAACAAAAAAAATCCCTGTCTTCTGCATCAGCAAAACCGAGTGTTCCTGGCTGGCAGCTTTCGGCTCGACTCCAGGCAGAACCCAGTGCAGCAACCTTGCCTTTGGGTGCCTGCTGATGATCCCCGTCTTCCCGGCACCTCGGAGATGCCGCAGTAGGGTTGGACCCCACGGAAACGTGTCGCTTGCTCAGAGCCCCTGTCGGAAGCAAGGTGCCGCCGGCCCGTGAGGCTGCCGCCGACACAAGCGGGCAGAGGAGAGGCGGAGGCGCTGCCGGAGACACAGTCCCAACACTGGGAAGTGAGCACGGCTCCAAGATCCTGGACAATGGGCTGTGTTCTCCCAGCAGGGGCCAGCTACAAAGAAGTAGAAGGAAAAGCAGCCGCCAGCATTACCCTTTGATGACGTGGTTAGAAAGCCAAGCCCTTCTTGTCACTTGCTTTTATCGGTGATGCTGGCCCCAAGGAGAGTCAGCAGCACTGTCTTTGTTGGAGGGAAGGAGAAACCAAAGCACCAGGAGGTGCTCAGCTTGCTCACAATCACCTGGGAGAGGAACAGCACAAAATCCAAGCATCAGTTCTACATCATGAGGCTACACCTGATGCCTGCTGGAGAGCCAGGGGCCCGGCTCAGCACACGCGTGGGCTCTCTTGGGAAGCTGGGGGGTCCCACCTTAATGCCTCCATCTTTGGATGCCAAGTGGGTGAGCACGGCGCTGGCTTCATGCCAGGCAATCGCAGATGCCCTCTTTGCATCCCTCGTGCTGCTCGTCACGCTTAGCGCCTCTCCACATCCCCATGCACTGCCAGGGCGCACGGGGGACAGGCCGGGGCTGGGGCCGCCCCGCAGCTATGCCCAGGCCAGGCTCTGGGCTCGGACCAGAGTGCCAGGACACACGGCCACCCGTGCCAGGACAAGGGGACCTCGGCAGGCGCTCCCATCCAGAGCTCGGCACCCACACACCTCAGGCAGTGAAGGCGGATGGGGATTTCTTTTCTTTGTGTGCATTTCTTGGGGTATCTTCCCTCTTCCCCGCTCTGCTGCTGCGATGTTGCTTTTTCTCCTGCCTTCATACTCTTCCGCTGCCTTTTTTTTTTTTTTTTCCACCTGGTGATGCACCACATAAGTATCCCTGAGGACACAGGAAAAGATCGGCTAAGATTCTTACAATGTCCCTCAGCTCCTGCGTGCTGACAAAGCCTCGGTCAAGTCTCCACTCCCAAACCCGTGTCTGTCTCCCGGACGGGAAGCAGATGAACTGTCTGTTCTCTTGTTTTCTTTGGCAGAACGCAGAGCGGAGCCGCCCAGACCTGCAGGGCCCAGGTTTCTATGGCTCGGGGCTGTGTCTGACTGCTGAACAAGGTCTTCCTTGGGCCTTGCTCTGTTTTTTGAGCAGAACCAGCACATCCACAGTGATTCCACCACTGAAAGCTGAGAGTGAAGGATGTCTCAGCCCCTCCTGCCCTGAGCAGACTCTTGAGCCAAGCATGGTGTGTCACCAAGGCACTTTCTTTGATTTCTCCTTGCTCCACAACCACACCATCTCCGCCACTGCCTTGCAGGACTCCCTGCTCCCACCTTGCAATCTGAGCACTCTCTGAATTTCTCAAGTGTTGGAGCAATTGGGCAAGTCCTGACTTAGTTGGAAGCAGACCAGGGTGAGGAGGAAGCTGATGGACGGTTCCCAGTGATGGACAGTTCAGTTCTGTGCCAGTGCCTTGCCTTTGATCAGACAGACGCTGCCTCCCCTCCACACATGCAGCTTATTCCTACCTCAGGGAATCTAATAGGAGGCCCTGAACTTGGCCACCGAAGTCAGTGACAGTGCCAAGTCAAGTGAGACTTGATTCTCTTTTCCTGTGCCTGCAGCAATGGAGCCCACTGGCAAATTTGTGGCCACACAGAAACGTCTACCTCCCTGCGTTTTTCTTTTCCATTTATTTGTCTCTCCATTTGGAGAGGGAATTTCCTCCCAGATAACACTTCTCCCAGATAACATTAGCTCTGTGCTGCTGAGTCCAGACACCTGCCATGGGCAAGCGCTCTTGGGCCTGGTGTGACACTGAAGAGAGGGTCCTGGAGGGAAGCGCAGGCTGCAGACACCTCATGCAGCCAACGCGAGGGCATCACGCAACCGTCGGCAGGAACGCGGGCCCGTCTTCTGTGCTGAGCCCTGAGCTCGCAGCAGGAGCTCACGGGGACATGAACAAGCTGAGAACGGGGGCTGAGCCATCTCTGCAACAAAAGCCATGGGTGTGCGCCCGAGGGACTCCCCGGTGGGGAAGGAGCTGCGAGGACACGGTCACCCCCATGACAACCCAGGCGCGTGACGGAGCCCGGGCGGCACCCGCCCTGACACTGCACAAGGCAGCAGGGCTCGGGGCAGAGGCTTCATTTAGAGTTTCCTAGTGCTTTACTGAGCGGGCTTTGCTGCCCGGCTCCGGCTGCCCGTGCCCGGCCGCTCCGCGGGGCAGGGAGGGCAGCCAAGCGGCTCCGCGTGCCCCGTCCCCGCAGCGCGGGCGGCCGCTGCCCCGCGGGGCGCGCTCGGCGCCGAGGGCCGGGGTCCTGGGCGCCTTTCCGGGGGGCTGCCGGGCCAGCGGCGCCAGCGGCTTCCCTCGCCCGCCACACAGCGCTCGCGGGAGGCAGGCCA